GTGACTGAGGCCCGCCGGCCGGCAGAGAGGGGCTGGGCAGGGCCTAGCGCTCGTGAGCATCTGTGCTGTCATGCATCCCAGCTCTGGTTTTCCTCTCCATCCCCTCTGCTCATCGTCAGTAGACTTGCAAACACAGAAGCGGTGGTTTTGGTTGCTATTTAAAAAGCAGTCAAAATAAATGCTTGGTTAAAAGAAATAAGGGAACACCAATCTAGCCAGCCTGACTTATTAAAGGCTCTGGGCACCCATTCCTCTTCAAGTGTCTTTGATGTTTTCCCGGAATTCTGCTTGGGAGCCAGGAGGGTGAGGGCCTGCGAGGCAGGTGCCCATGTCACAGCCAGCAGCCCAGGCGCCCTGAGCACCTGGACGGGGCCTGGTTTGGAAACGTGACTCATTAACACGCACAGGCCTGCCCTGAGGCCAGGGAGCCGTGGCTGCTCCTCCCCAGCGTGGCCCCCTAATGAAGTTCCGGCCCTGCTTTCGCTGCGGGAACAGTTCAATCCGGAGAAGGTAGGGCTTGACCAGAAAGTAGAAAAGCCTGGGATGTGGCCCAGGAGTCTCTCGATGGGACTGAGTCAGTGCAGCGTGCACTGGAGGCTGTGTGTGTGTGTGTGTGTGGGTGTGTGTGTGTGTGTGTGTGTGTGTGTCAGTGGGTGTGTGTGTGTGTGTGTGTTGGGGGGGTGGGGCGTCAGTTAAGGTGTTTGGGAAGTGATTTATGGGCGAAATAATTCCCGAGAGACTGCTTACTGCGAACACGCAGCGCAGGGTGGGAGCTCTGAACGGCCGGCTCCGCGTGGAGCCCGTTTGCCTGGGGCCCAAGCCAAGCATCCCCGCCCGCTGCCCGGTGCACGAGGTCCCCTTGGGGAGTGGACCGAGCAGCCTGGAGGGTATTGGTCTGACCTCTACGCCTGCTGCTGGTTCGCACAGTGGCCCAAGAGCCTCGCTCCACTGTGGGCGACACTTCCTGGTGGAAACTCTCAGACACTCATCCACGATCATAAAAATGAAGAGAAAAAGGAGAATAAAAATGATTCAGGGGCCCTGCATCATGGCAAGGGATGAGAAGCGGTCAGAGACCAGCCAGACCCTTGGGTCTGTCCAGCCACCCGTGTCCACAGTGGCCTTGTGGTCCTTCCTCTCCATAGACCTTCTCCCATCCCGGCTTCCTTCTGAGGAAACGTGCTCTGCCCCCTCCCCCATATGCTCTCAGCCCAGCCACTAGTCCAGTGGTTCTCAACCTGTAGGTAGCGACCCCTTTGGGGGTCAAATGACCCTTTCGCAGGGGTCACCTAAGACCATCGGAAAACACATATATAATTACATATTGTTTTTGTGATTAATCACTATGCTGTAATTATGTTCAATTTGTAACAGTGAAATTGGGGTCAGCACAACATGAGGAGCTGTATTAAAGGTTGTGGCATAGGAAGGTTGAGAACCACTGCCCGAGTCAATCAGGGCACTGAGTCCAGGGCCACAGAACTGAGCCCCGGGCAGAGGCGAGGGGATGGCTGTGCAGTGCCAGTCAGCACTGGAGCCGCGTGACCTCAGCGGAGGTCCTGGTTGGGAACAGCAGGGTCCCCCAGAATCCAAGCGAAAGCAGCCAACGGCGTGGAGAGAATGGGGCACGCGGCTGCTCCCGCTCTAGTCTGCCTGCTGGGCCTGTGAGGGTGGCGAGGGCCGGAGCTGTCCCAGCGGGTGTGGGCTCACCTGGCGGCAGAAGCACAGTGACCGGACAGACCGTCCATCTGAAGGGATTTTCCCGTAAAGAATGTTCGGGAGTCAGAAAGAACTTGCACGAGGCTGTGGCCTGGGTACATATTTAATTAACGTATGTGATCGGTTACAAAGTCATGCGGTGCCTTATTTACCAAAAAGCAGGAGTCACGCAGTACACAGTGTGTTAGACATAAAATCAGAAGATAAACACAGTTCTTCCTAAGTGAAATCTGACAATGGGTTTCCAAAACCTTCATTTCCAGCCTTGCTCCGAGCTGCGTCTCCTGAAGGTGAGCTGCCAGGTGCAGCGTTTTAAACATTTAGTTCCCCGAATCCCGATACTATGACTTAAATGCTCCAATTACTTCGGCCCAGTGACAAACCCCTCCGCACCCCCTGCCGCACGCTGCCCTGGGCGGGTTGGCACTTTCAGGGCATCGCAGCTCCGTCCAGTACAACCTGTGTGACGGGGCGGAGAGCGCGACGGCCAGGGAAGGCAGTCTGCTCTGCGACACCCGTCAGGGCACCGCAGACCTCACGTCCAGGACCTGAGGGTGGCCTGGGCCTTGGGTGTGGACACCTGGGTGTCAAAGCCCGCGCTCACCCTTTGCTGTTGATGGGGACAGTGGGCTCCAGGTCGCTTTTCTCTAAGCAAGACGCCCCAGGATTTCGAGTGGGGCTCCTCCCCGCTGTGCTGAGTCGTGCAGTGCCTTCCCGCGACCTGCACCTGGACCTGGACCTGGAGGGGAGGCTGCTTTTCAATCCCGAGGCCAGCGGCTCTTACCTGTCTCCTCTGTGGGCCCACACTCACTTCCTCACCACTTCCTCTCTCCTTCCCCTCTTACCGTGGCCCTTTCTCTACCACACCTGCTCCCTCCCAAACACAGGGTCCAGGGCCTGCTGCAGGGAATGACTTCCCTGAGAAGTGGTTAGCCTGTTACGTGACTCTCCAATGGTGGGATGTGTGAGGGGCGGGCAGCGTGGCAGAGCCCGGCAGGTGCTCATTAGTTTACCCGGGCTGCTGGGCAGGCTTCCCTGAAGGTCCTGTGTGGATGGTGCTCACTCTCTGGGAGACGATGGTTGGCTCCCCGGCTGACGGGAGTGTGTGCCCACCAGCCCGGCCAGCGCAGGCTGCGGAGGGTCGGAGTGGGAGGAGGTCCTCACAGAGCTCTTTTTGCTCTGAACTGCCTCCAGCGCCCGCTGTGCAGAGCGCCAGGCAGCCCTGAGCGGGATCCTTCCAGACGTCTGATCGTATTGGTTTGAAGGCAAAGTGATGGGACTGCCTTAGTGAGCTCTGGATTTCTGAAGGGGTCTGTCTGGGAGAAAGGACGTATGTGGCAATGTAATTGTGTGTGCACACATGTATGGGTGTGAGTGTATGTGTGTGTGCATGTGTATGCACTCACGGTGCATGTATGTGTTGCATGTGTGTGGGAGTGAGTGGCGTGTGTGTGTGTGTGTGTGTGTGAGTAGGGTGTTCATATGAACAAGTGCCGCTTTAGTAGACAAACATGGAACACAGAATCCACAGTCTGAGTCTTGCTTCTGGTTCAACTTAAAACTACCTCAACGCAGGCAGAAAGACTCCGTGATGGCGTCCCTGGCCGGACCCTGTTCCCCCCAAGAAGGAGACACGATGCCCCCCGCTCCCCTGACCACTGTCTGCACCCAGGCTGACTGGCTGTACCCACACCTTCCGCACCGCCCTCCTTCCCCAGGGGTGTCCTTGGGGAGGGGTCGGAGGGCGGAGCCACCGAGAAGCAGGTGGTGCACAGTTTCTTTCCCGGGAAGGGCATCCTAGGTTGTCTAACTGCCCAGAATAAAAGAATGTATTGTCTTTGTGTTACCATGGAGATGTCTAGTAACACAGTTTTTCTTTTTTCTCTTTTTTCTAAGTTTAAAAATACTTCCAAAAGATTTCAAAGACATTTTCTAGGGCAACTTTGATGTGTTTGCAATTTTTATTAGGGGGTGTGATACCTGTATTCCTCATTGTATTCATACAGTGAAGAGCTTCGTGTGTGTGTGTCTATGGCTTGAAATTTTAAATTGCATGTACATGTATGTACCCATGTCACCATGTGCTTGGAAGGCGTTCCTTTCTCTGTAGCCTCCACAGCTGCCCTCGGGGTCTCCCGCCTCTGCCTCCAGGGGTCAGCGTGTGCAAGGTGAACAATTCTACACACTGGCAGGGCAGGGCGCACGGCCCACCGGGTTCCGACAGCCCACGTCTGTCAATGGGAACCTCTGGGCTACAATATCTAGCTGATTCTCTGGGCATTTTCAAACATGTGCATAGCATATCTGAATTTTTAAGTAAATTTAAAATGTTCTTAAAAATGCTTTGGCATCCAAGGGAAAATGAGTGGCCTAGCCCCTTTGGCTGCTGGCTTCTGGCTGCGTGAGAAGGTGAAGGGCTGGGATGTAACGGCAGGTGTGGACTCAGGGGAGGAGGTGCCAGCGGTCCCCGAGCGGCTGCCCTGCTGTGCGGTCACCTTCATGACTGAGGCGTGGCCTGGCCCTACTGTCCAGGGCTGTGACAGTGTGTCCTTGAAGGGGCTTTCTTGACAAATGTGACCACTCACCCCACAGGGACGGGGCTGGCAGTGGCCTGCGCCGCCCGTGCAGCCTGGCAGCGGGCAGAAGGCTCTGGCCGCGAGGCTGCCTTCGAGGGGACAGGAACAGGAGGAACCTCCCTACACCCTCCTGCAGGTGGATGCGGTGACATAACGGCTTCACGCTCCTGCTCTGAGGGAACAGCTGCCACAGGGGCTGCAAGCGTGGGAACCAGGAGCGCGAACGCCACGGGAAGGAGGTGGGGCGGGCGCTAGCACGGAGCAAGGGGACCCTCTGCGGAACAGTCAGGATGTCATTAGCCCTTCCCAGCACGTTCTCATGGAATTCACTCAGTGGCCTCACCTAGTCAACCTCTTACTGGGTTTGCTGTGATTCTCCTTACCACTCCGTCCAGGTAAATAATGACTCACCTAATCAGACCTACTGAAGATGAAGACAAAGACGGCCCACCCAGGACTCACACAGTGAAATGTGGAATGAGGTGTGAACTCAGCAGGTGGCACGGGCAGCCGAGGCGGGCGGGGCTGTGCGCACTGTGGTGGCAATGGTGGGGGGAGGCGGGAATGGGCGGCTAAAGGGGTGTTACTTGACCAAACACAGGGTATTTTAAAGCTCTTGCTCACTTACAAACCCCCACATCAGTCAAGTCCACTTTCCAGAGACAACGGGGTGTTGTCATCGGCATTTACGAACAGACAGCGACCAGGATGTCAGTCATTCCAGGGGATGGCGTTTCCCGATTTCGTATCCAGCCCTCGACGTTGGGGTGAGAAACAGCAGCTGCTTTAGTTCGCGTTCTGGTGTTGAAATGTCAGACTTTTATACGGGCACGGATTGGAAACTGCACGAACATGGAAGCTGTGGGCCCACACGCTGGAGGAGAGCTGCAGCTATGACAGAGCCCGTTGCCGATCTCAGGTCATGGATTTCATACAGAATTTGGAACTTTATGGGGGTGTCTGGGGAGGCTTGGGGAAAAATTGGTATCGATGTGCTCACATAGATGATGTACAAACACAACCTATTCCTGATTGCATCTCTTGCTTATAACCTCCAGCTACATGAAGATTCTCTAAGGGGAAGATCAACATTTTAAATAACTTGCTTAAGAAATTGGATAGTGGCTGACTCATAAAACTCTTGCCAGCTTTTACTAACCAAGGTCAGAAATGATTTGGCGGGTGACGCCCCAGATCAGAATTCCAACAACAAGACCCGTGACCTCGTGCAACCAGCCTCCACCCTGTGCTTTGCCAGACCAAGGCGGGGTGGTCCCTGTCTTCCCAACGCGGCGCGCTCAGCGCTGCCCGCGCTTCCTATGGTCCCTTGCCTTGGACAGAACTTAGCTGTGCTGATCGGGTTTGGCAGCAGCGCGCTCTCAGGCATATGATCTGAGTGGCGCGTAGTGAGGAGTGGGGGCAGGACAAGGACACTGGGAAAGAAGCCTTTCAGACAATGCTGGCAGAGCGTGTGAGCCGCCCGGGCCCCGGTGGGTGTCGGGGAGCTGAGCCCGGAGGGAGGAGAGTCGTCTGCTGGGAACGCAGGGGTCGTGGAGGAGCAACTCACAGGACGACTCTCCGGCCGCTGCCCGGCTACTTCATGAACTCCTGGTAGAACTCCGAGCGCACGAAGCGGGGCAGCGAATCCTTCTCCATCAGGGCGTGCACCCTCTTCTGGGCCACGTCGAAGCTGCTCGGCGAGGGCTCCACCAGGTTTCTCACTGTGATGTCCTTGGTGAAGTGGTCGATGTTCACCTGCAGGCAGCAGACAGCCGGTCAGGTCGGGCAGGGACAGGGATTTCCCCTGGAGAGTGAGGACGGCGCTTCTACTTCCTAGGTCGTGGGGAAGGCCACTCGGGTTAGGACGCGGCCAGTTAGACACGCACCGGGCGTCAGCCTTTCCTCTGCGGGGTGGGGGTGGGGTGGGGGTGGGTGTGCCTGTCTGTGTGAAGGTGAAGTGGCTTCTTCACGGTCACAGAGCTAAGGGGTGTGTTTGAATCCAGGTGCCCACAGGTCTCACCTGGAGCCAGGCCGTTTAGTGAGGGCTCGGCCCTTAGACGGGGCACCACCTGCTGGTGCTGCTGACTCAGCCAGGTCCTACCCATGTTGAAACTGCTTCCCAGGGCCTCGTTTCCCTGACAACACCCATGTTTGAATGAAGGACTTGAGAACGTTTTCCAGGAACCCTCGCCTGGATTCCATGAAGAGGAACGGAGTTGGTGGGAAGGCAGGTTAGATTGGGGAATCCCAGGTAGTAGGGAACTGAGTGTCCGATTTAACACGGAACTCATGTCCGTGATGACATCATGAAGAGAGACTCATGCTGGCAGGGAAAGTGTGGCCAGCGCCCTGGCTCCTCACAGGCTGGGAGGCTGAGGGCGGTGGGGGAGGCCTGCAGAGGAGTCCAAGCTAATTTCCACTGCAGCATGGAACCCCATAATCTCCAGGACTCCCCCCCCGCCCCTTGACCCACAGGCCCCTACGCACCGTGCTCCTCCCTGCAGCTCCTGGAGGGGCTCACCTGTGAATAGTAAGGTCTACGCTTGGGCCATACATTCAAACATCCGCCTCTAAACAGGATTAGCGATGACTAATTCATAACCAGAGCCTGGAGAACATATGGAAGAAAGGGATATCGGGGGAGCCCCTCGCATCACCTAGAGAAGATGGCTGCCCACCTGCGGGGCTCCTCGGACCATGTGGGGCTGGCTGCAATCCCCGGCTGGGTTAAGGAGTGCAATGTGGTCCCAGAGATCTGACCCAGCACTGAGCACAGCTGTGCTGTGGTGTCCTGAGCCCACACAGAGCAGGTACCCGGCCCCAGAGCTTCTCTGAAATCAACACACATCTGGTTGTTGGTGGCCAATTGATGGTAGCCTGTCTTCCAACTGTGCCATCTGGCGACAATCTGACTTCCGTGAGCAGGCACCCTGCTGCCCTGACCAGAGTATAAATACATAAATGGGGGTGTAGACAAAGGGATGGAGGAGGGTGGAGGGGAAAATGAGTTTACATGGAAAGAAAGGGAAGGGAAGGGGAAGAGAAATGATAGGAGGTAGGAACACTCACTAGTGTTAACTAGTTGGGACGCTGACGTGTGTGTTTTCACATCCACAGCTTAATGCCATCCTGACAGCCCTGCCAGGTGTCTTCATTCCCCCTTTTCGCGAAGGAGGGCACTAGGTTCGGAGGGACCCGCTGATTCATTCAAGACCACACTTGTGTGTCATTGCTGCTGCTGCTGAGTGAGATCACGCTGCCTGCGCATCCAGGCAGGATGAGTCCCAGCTGCTTGGCCGCATTGCTCCGCCCCTGCACCCAGTAGGTGCTCAAGAAAGGTGGCCACGCCCAGTCAGAGTGGCCTCGGGCTGCAGACCTTTTCCTAGGTGTGACCCCTTCCCGGGACATCGCTGAGGGAGCCTCACAGACCGCGCTCACCCAGCGCCCCCCAGGACCCACCTCTTTAGGGGCCTCGGTCTGGATGAACTCTTCATAAATTTTCTTTGCCTTCTCCACCATCTTGGCCGCCGACTTGGTCTTCTTGAAGTCCTCACAGGCCATCCAGAACTCCAGGTTCTCCTCACTGAATTCAGACTTCAGGAAGCTCTTGAAGCTGGCAAGTCCATCTGGCAAGGAAGAAGGTCATGGAGGAAACAGATCCGGTACCTATCATCTCCCTGTCCTCTGTCTCTCACCCACCTGTCACCTATCTGTCCGTCACTGTCCTGCTGAGTGGCCTAGGCTTCCTTACTACCGATCCCTGTCCCTTAAGGAGGAGCCTTACAAATGTGAACGCGTGGACTTCCCATTACAAACCCAGGAGGCAGGAGTAATTAATATTCTATCTTCCGGCTGGGCCAGAGCGGCTCAGTAAGTGCCCTTAGTAACCAACTGGCAGGTGGCGGAGCTGGGGGGTCAGGCCGGGTGTCCGTGTTGCGAGAGGCTGACCAGCATAGGCATCCAGGATGCTGTGACCTGGTGCACTTGGCACTCGCTTGCTTAGGGTTCCATTAGAAACTGCATTGGAAACGGATTGGCAATGAAAGTGGCAGGAACGCCAAGAGGACGAGGAACAGTGACAGAGGGGCCTCCCCCGCCCTCGAAGGAGGGGCCTACGGTTCAGGCCTGAAGGGGGTGGGAGCGGCGGGGAACGTGCCACCGAGTAGCGACCAGGCCAGCAGTCACACATCGGTCTTTAAAACGTGTTAAAGGTACAGCCACACACAAACACGGGCCTGGGCCTGCCTGGGCCCAATGCCTTCCTTTGCTGGTTTGTTGCTTGTGTCCTACCCTCCACTGTAACCGCCAGGCAGCAGGCAGCAGCCGCAGTGAGGGAGGAGGCGCCAGCACGGAATAAAGGGACTCAGGTCTTCATGATCCTCCTCCTCTTTCGAGCTGACCGACTCTCTACAAACACAGATCTCAAACAGCGATTCTAACAAGTCTGCATAGAGTCCACGCCCATTTAGTATCTCAGGAAGGTCCCCAAGGGAGGAGCAGAGGCGCCAGCTGCACCCACGGTTCCCAATGGCAGCCGTCCCGGCGAAGCGGGAGTGACTGTCCCAGGACATCGGGGCCGGTTTCCCCCTCACCGGCCCCATCAGCAGACCTTCCGCAAGCTCATAGCTCTGGCTGGGGACATTTTCCTACTGAATTCATTTCCTTTCACCTAATTTCATCTGTTTCCCGTGCCTGGAGTTGGTCTCCTTTTCACAGACTGTCCCTGCGTTAGTCACTGCCAAGCACAGGGATTTCTACCACAGGCTACAGCTCCATGAGGCTTAAACCAGGACAGATGGGGTCCTGCTGTCAATGTCGCGTCTGGATGCGTTCATGGTCTCCGTGTCCTGCCAAGTCCCTGCCACCGCGTCCACCTCTATCGAGGCGGGATGGCTCCGCGATAGCGAGCCTGGGCCCGGGCACCGTGACCTGGATTTCAACAGACACTCGCATGTCACCCCCTCCTTGTGCTGACCCTTAAACACACTCCCCTGAACACCTGAGAGTACGCCTGGCGAGGGCAGCTCTGATAAGCAATGTCCTCTAGGAGCCTGGCTGGAAAGTCACTTACAACCGTCTCCCCTGCTGGCCGGGGCAGTAGGTGGTTCCCTCTCTCCCTCTCTCCCTCTCATTGCCTGCGGGTCGCTGCAGCCCAGGGCCGTGCTGTCACCCGCTGTGCTGCGGGAGCCAGGCCCGCTTCTCCCCTCGTTCTCGGTTTCCTTTTTGTTTGTTCGTTTGTGTTAATCCTCACCTGAGGATATTTTTCTCAATGATTTTAGAGAGAGTGGAAGGGAGACAGAGAGAGGGAGAAAGATGCAAGAGACACATCGATTGGTTGCCTCCTACATGCACCCTGACCAGGGATGGAACCTGCAACTCAGGTACGTGCACTTCACTGAGAATCGAGCCCTTGACCCATCAGTATGGGGCCGGCTCCCTACCCACTGAGCTACTGTCCAGGGCTCATGTTTCTTAAACAAAGGTGTCAGGTAGTCCCTGTGGGAATGGGAACCTTCCCAGGCACTTTCCAGCTGCCAGGAAGTGCAGACGGGACAGCCTGCTGCGTTCTCACAGGATCGGCTCTGAGGCCGGAGGACACAGCCTCCCTGAGTCTGCGGCCAATTTCCTGCCGTAGTTCCATCGGGCACTGGGAGTCATTCTGCCTCTTTGTAAAAGGGAGAGAAAATTCCAGTGCCCCACTCACTATTCACCCCGAGGACAGCGCCAGGATTCCCAGACGATGCTCACACGGAATGAGCTGGAAATACCCGTCTGGGCCTGGGTGCTGACGTCGCGGCGCGCACTGAACCCCACAATATTATTTCAAGGATTTTTGTCCACAGACGCACTTTAAGCCCAGAATCATGCAATGGCTTTGTGCTCTGTTGGCCTGGGGGTGTTTAAAGCTGTTCTTTCCTCATCTGGCTTCTGAGGATTCCCTGACGGCCCCTTACGAGGACCCTCTGACACCCGCCCCCCTCGTACCTTTCCCTCTTTAACCTCTGGCTCATTCCTCAGAGATGCTCTCCATTACTCCTCGGGAAGTCCTGGTGGGTCTGACTTTAACAGACTCCAGACCACATGTCTCTATTCTGTAAGCAACACATGTGTCTTCTTTGCCCATCCCACACCCCAGTAGAGTCCCCTCCCCACATTCCACACCCCAGTAGAGTCCCCTCCCCACATTCCTGACCATCTGCACAGCCTCTGGACACCTCCTGGCACACCTGGTCAGGCATGACTGCCGAGGAAGCCCAAGACCTGCCTGGTCCTCCCCTGGGAACCTGGGCTGTGACGTTGGCGACAATCCCAGAGCCGCCCTAATGAGTGGGCCACACGCACATGCACATATATGTTCCCCTCTGAGACGTAGAAACTACCACTGCAGAATCTCTGGCCTTAAGCTCACACCGGTTTGCAAATTGAAAGACTTCAGTCCCTCAGCGGATGCTGAGGTGTTATCACTAACTGCCGCACTCACCTTCCCCATCTTCTCATCCCAGTAGCTTCATCCCCCAAAGCCTAAACCACGAACTTACCGCCCTCAGCATCTGCATGGCTGAAAGGGACCGTGTGCATAAATATACACCCTTCTCCTCAACGGTTTTGACAACATGGAAATAGTTCTGCTAATTCTCAGGTTTCTGGACACTAGCAATAAACGCCCAGCCCCAGGGCACTTAGCTCACAGTGCATCACGCTGCCGCCTGCCAGCTGGCGACCGACCCAGAGCCCCTGCCGAAGACAGTGAGGAAGTCAGCTGATAAACATAAACGTTTTCCTCTTCGTTGACCTTGTGGAATTTTGGGTTCCAGAAGCAACAGAATTCATTATCACCCATTAAGTCACTAAACATTTATTGGGCACTCTAGGGGTCAGGGCAGGACACTCTGTTTAGCACAAACCGTAAAAAGAATCAACAATGATTGAGAAAGTCCCAGATTGGAGGAGTTGGTGTTCTGCCTTGAGATGTTGAGCTGGTAAGCAGAAACTTTCCCATCTAAACAAGACAAAATGTCCGTATACAGTTGAACACACATTATTTGTTACGTACTCTGCCCGTTAGTCATGAAGATCCTGTGAGAAAGGTTTTTTAATCCTTGTTTTTACAAAGCATCAAACAAAATGTCACATTCCATTCTTGCGGTGAAGATGGGGAAATATGGGTTTGATATCTTAGGTAGAATAATGTCTAGAGCAGGGGTGGGCAAACTTTTTGACTCGAGAGCCACAATGGGTTCTTAAACTGGACCGGAGGCCGGAACAAGAGCATGGATGGTGTGTTTGTGTGAACTAATATAAATTCAAAGTAAACATCATTACATAAAAGGGTACAGTCTTTTTTTTTTTTGGTTTTATTCATTTCAAATGGGCTGGATCCGGCCCGCGGGCCATAGTTTGCCCACGGCTGGTCTAGAGTGAACTATTCAACAAATATTTATTTTCCACATACTGTGCACTTCCTGTTGTAAAATAATGGGGGTCAGAAGGCCAAGGCCGGGCTGCCCAGCAGTTTGTAACCCATAGGAGGAGGGAAACGACTCTAAACGGAATACAGAGAAGCACATGTTGAGCTGGGTGGCCAGCGTGAAGGGGCACAGACGACGTGCAGACAAGTGTGTCTGGAAGCTCAGAGGGCGGGAAGGGCAGGCCCCGAGATGCACTGTGACAGGAGAGGAAGGTTCCCGCAGGAAAGATGTGATGCAAAGCTGTGCCCACAAAGGGCTCGCGGGTGGGAAGCCGGGAAAGCCGGCCGGGCAGCCAGTGTGATGGCAGACCAGCCAGAGCACCATGGAGAGTCTTGAACATTGGAAATGGCACTCGATCCCGTCAGCCTTGGGAACGCGTGGGATATGGGTCAGGGGAAGTGTGCCCACGTGCACTGGCATTGCCACCTCAGTCATGCCTGGAATGAAGCTCTGACAGGCACACTGCCAGCCGGGAAGCTGGCTGGGCCATCACAGCCCCGGTCTGAGGGTCACAGAGCATGAGCAGCCCCCAGGCCCCATGTCCATGGGCTGACCCTGCTCTCAGTCCTTGTTAGCCCAGCACAAGGCTCAGCCAAGGACAGGCTAGTGCTTGATGAACATACGAAGGGCACACGGCCAGGACACGGGCACACAGGGCAGCAGATGTGACATGAGCGTAAGCTGGCTCTCGGGACACTCACCCTCCCGTCTCACCACACCCCTCGGCACCCTCCCTCGCTGAGGTCGCTTTGGAAATTTTAAGAAACGACAAAGTCAGGGGAAAGGGCGCGGCCTTGGAAGGCGTCCCCTCCTCCGGCCCTCGCGGCTCTTGTCAGACCCAGTGCGGACTTACAGCTGCTCTGCAGGAGCTTGTCCAGGGAGTCGCGCCACTGCAGGGCCTCCTCCGGCGACGGCCTGGGTCAGGGAGACAGAAAGAGGCGGCGCCGTTAGTGGGCACAGACACCAGCAGCCAGGCCCGTCCACAGCACAGGGAGCGGAGCTGCTCTCCTGCCCACACTGCGTGTGCTGAGGGGCTGCCCTCAGCATCTGTCTGTACACGTTCACCTCTTTTTGGACAGTTTGGTGAGGTCTGTGCCTTCTTAGACATGGAGTCTATTCACCATGGAGCTGTGTGGTGTTCGTGTACATTCATGAAAGTGTTTTTTCCTAAACGTCACAATGAAAGCCTGGGTCCACGCAGGGATGCGCCCACGTTCTCATCTCACAGTGCCCACCAGCCACCTGGCTCGGCCCGCGAAGGGCACGGACGCCACAGCAGGGCCGCCGCCACCTCCTCAGGGCCTCTGGATGACGGGACGTCTCTGTGGCAAGTCCACACTTTAAAAATCTGGGTGCATTTTCCCTGCCCAGTTAGGACAGGCTAGTGCCTGAGCAAGGGCCCCTCTTCTGAGGAGCAGTGTGGTTCCCCGAGAGCAGGAGCGGCACTGCCCTCCTGGCGGATTCCCAGGAGACCAGCCAGTGCCTGACTTCCCCGCGGGTGGTCACGGTCAGGCTGGGCTGGCTGGGGCCTCCTGGACTCACCTGCTCTAAGGCTCAGGTTACAACGTGATTTCCTCATCATCACATCGCATCAAGGCAGACTAACCAGGCCTTCCTGAGCACAGTGAAGCCAGTTAAAGGCGTTTTTCCTAAATAGGAGTTTCCTTAGCTCATGTGTATCTATAGCTCAGACAGTCCAGGAATACGCCTGCTTCTGGTTTTAAACGCAGCATCTCAGGGCTTTAATTGTTCAGACTGGCAGTGAGGTTGATGAGGGGATGCTACCACTCACTTTGCTGCCTGAGCTAAAGCGCTAGAATAACTTGTTCGAATCTCGCTGCCTACCCGCAGAACATGTACAAATTTGGAGTCACAATTCTGGGACTTTTCATAGAGTTTTAAGTTTTTACTACTGAGAGTAGCAATTCTGGTGAAATACCATTAGGGGTTTCTTCTTTTTTCCTGGCAAGAGCTTAGGCATCATAGATCAAAAATGCAGTGCTCATTTTGGGAATTTAATTCTGCAAGCGACCCCCTTCCCGCCCCAGGTGCTAGAGCGCAGGAGGGGACCGGGTGGGAAGCGGGCTTGCCAGTGTGTCCCTTTATTTTTCTGCCTCATTTTTTTTCTATCCAGAAAAGGACCTGGTTCCTAGTGGCCTGAACCCTCCTGGCTCTCTGTGCCCCCTCTCCGCCTCCCCCCGCACCCCCTGAGAGCCTGTCCTGTTCTGCTTGATTCACGCTGACATTTCTGACCGAGGCTTCCACACCTTTCCTCCCTCCACGGTGGGCGAGGTGTTGCATATTCTAGAAGCCCACCGAGCCTCCGTGGATCGTGGGCAGATACAGCAGGACATGAAACCATTGGATGAAAGAAACAGGCCTGCCTCACACCCGGATCCTCCCTGATTATGTGACTATTCTCGTGAAGGACATCACCTCCCCTGTCCTTGTTTATGTGATTAAATTCTTGGAAAGGACACGTGCACAGCCCACTCAGGGGCTGGATTAGTGCAAACTGATCTGGGATGCAGCCAAGCAAGACTCATGCCCGCAGCCCGAAGCCCAGGCTGTGATGACCGCGGGGGGAACGCAGGCTCGTCCTGCCCAGAAACAACATGGATGCAGCTCTGATGACCACCGAGGGCGCTGGTCTGCAAGGGCTGTGGCTGAGCGCAGCGCTGGACGTGCGCCTCCTGTGGGTGTGGGCGGGGGAGCTGGTCCCAGGGAAAGAAACAGGCATGAGAGCCAAGCGGCCGGCGAGGGCCACGCTGTCCTCGTGGGTCTAACAGCCAGGTGCGCGCTGCGGGCAGGTGCGCACTGCCCACCCTGAGAGCCCTCCCCCCCGGGGTGCCTGCAGCACTAGCCTGCCCCGGGCCACTAGGACATAAATGAACAAGGGTTCCGTTTGCCCACAGGGAGTCTGGGTGAAGAAAGCCACAGTAACCCAGAACTTCGACAGGAAGAGTTTTAGCCGAGAACTACCTGCAGCTCTGCACTGACGAGGGGCGCCCCGCAAGGCCTTCCCCCTCCCTGGCACCAGGGCTCCTCTCTGCGTTCCACATACACAGCCTCTCACCTGCCTAAGCCCGTCTGGCAGTGTCCCCACAGGCTCCTGCCCTCGACAAGGAAAGGGCCTCGGCTCCCTCCCTGGCACTTGTCAGTGCTCACTCTGCTCTCACATGGCCCCGCAGAGCGGGCCGCGCAGGGCTAGTCTCTCGTCCGTGAACAGTGACCGAGCCCCCCAGGGCCGGCAGCGACCGGCACCGAGGACGGGGTGCAGGTGAAAGCACCGGCCACTGCTGACATCGATCTGGCCGGCACAGCGTGCGGACGGACACACTCCAGACCTGTCCACAGGCCGGGCGCCCTCTGCGCGTGGGCTCAGTCTGGAGTTACTAAGCGGGGAAACAACAGCCAGAGAAACAGAGTTAAGAATGGGTGACCCGGCAGGGAGAGAAGGAGCCTGGAGAGTGTAACCTAAGTGGCAGGAACAGTTGCATACGGTGGGTGCTATAAGCCACGAGGAGAGACACGAGTGCCTGCAAACTGCCTCTATGCGGCTGTTCATCTGTG